GGTCCAACCCCAGCAGGTCCAGGGGTCCCCAAAGGTGTGGATGGAGTCAGCGAAGAAGGAATGACACAGAGACAGCGTTCAGTTGATCAGCAGCCTAGCCAGGATCTCTAGCCAGGATCTCCAGCCAAGTTCTGGTCTGGATCTCCAGCGAAGTTCTGGCTAGGATCTCCAGCCAGGTTCTGTGTCCATGTTCTCTTGCTAGGTTCCCCAGCCAGGTTCTGTCCAGGTTCTCCAGCCAGGTTCAGTCACCAGGTTCTAGTCAGGTTCTCTTGCCAATTTCTGTAGTCAGGTTCAGTCCAGGATCTTTTGCCATGTTCTCCCCAGCGAAGTTCTTCTGTCTCTAGAGAACGTTCTGTGTAGGTTCTGTGCCTCTTCATTCTGTCTTGTTACATCTGTATTTATACCAGTTGATTCCAATCCTATCAATCTCTATTCCAAAGGTTAGGGTGTTTCTTATCTCCATTCCAAGGAGTAAAGATTATGTAGCTTAAGCATGATTGTTCATAGTTAAAGTGATTAATTACCCGCCTGGCACTTAGTTAAGAGGTTTTATTCCCTCCCTAACTTCAGGGGAAAATCCCTACCTGGGGAAACAACCTTTCTCAGAGACCTTGGTTAAAACACATAGTGCCAAGAAGGTGAGCAAACATATTAAGAACAGTATGCCATATATGCCAGGACCCTTGAAACAGCAAGCATGGACCGGCTCCCGGCAGTCTTATATTAAAGCAAAGATTCAAGTAATCATCTAGCTATTACTCAGTAATCTTTAGTTGGTTTCTTAATAGATTTAACTATAGTATTTCAAATGCCATGCTTTTATCTCAAATAATTATGAAAGCTTTAATATAAATAATTTTTTCTTTTAATATATGCTTATAGTTTGGAGGATAAAATCTGTGACATAAAAGCAACATCTTCATAACCATCTATACAAGGTGCCTACCAATAGAACTTCTTTAAAAAAATTTTAGACAGCTATTGTGTTTTTTCTTTTACAGCAGATAATTTTTGAGGTAGCACAACGTGGCAGCCCTTCCCTGTTGTTCCTTTTATCTCTGTGCTCTTGTGACACGGAAAGGTGCATTGCTTAAGAAACATTGCATAGTTCACAGAACTTCACTGCCCAGCACCTGCTGTTCCCTTTGCCTGATGTACCTCCCCGTTCACACTGCCACTTCAGAACTCTGTCCCGGAGCAGGACACAGCTCTCACATCCCTTTTTCATGAAGTTTTGGTGATCCCCTGCAATCCGAAGATATGTACCTCTCCTCCGCTGCCCATAAGCCTCTGCTGCTCTTTACCTCCCATTTACACTTCCACCCTCTGCTTCGGGTTCTAGTTATTTGTATGCATGTCTTTTCTTACCAATCTTGCAAGTAGGGGTCTTTGCTTTTAAACTTTCACAATGTCTAGCACAAGACAGGTGCTAAATATTTCCCTGTGGAATAAATAATCAGGTTTTCCCCTTGTTAGTTTAGCCTCTTTTTATGCCAGTTCATTTGACATCTGTTATGTTTGGCATTTTAGTGTATAGAGTTTTTCTGAAAATTAACTGGCCTCTGCTATTTCCCATATAACACTGCTTAACACATTGAAATTTGCCTCAGAAAAAAAGAAGATGCCAATAGTTTTAATGATGATTTTTTTTTTAAATTAAGGGAATAGTTCAAATTGCTTTTTGAAATGCAAAACAAATGGTTTAATTGGTAAATAAATAGTTGAGGACTTTCTCCTGTGATATCGTCCTTTCCCAGACACTTTGTGAGTTTCTTTAGGAAGTGAACACATTCAAGACATCATGTTTCAACATCCTAGCCACTTCTCTGAAGCACAAATTAGAAATAAGATAAAAACTAAAATGAGAGCACAGTGAATTTTAGAATTTCTCTTTCTATTTTAATTTTTAAAGCAATACATTTTCTCGTTATTCATCATTTTTTTTGCACCAGTAGGGTCCCAAGAATTGTAGAGGATTCGGGAAAGTGAATGGCTTTAGCAACAAAAATGGATATGAATGAAAGAAAAAAATCATTTCCTGTTTCTCTACCAGTGGGTGGTCAGGTGGCTACCAGAGTGACCTCTGAGAGGAGACGCTAGATACCAATGAATTCTTGCATGGAGGTCAGAATGGTGGTTTAGACAACTCTCTAATTCTGGCAGTTCTTGGCAAGAGGTTTTTTTGATCACTCGAGTCGGGAGCACAGTATCGCTTTTGGAGTGGAAGCAGAAAACAAGCCATTAGTGCTAGACAAATATGTGTCTGCTGGTTAGTCATTAAAGTGTAAAGTACAAGTCAGTTTGGTCAACCAGGTCTCTTAGAAGTGATACAAGAGCCATTGCTGATTGAGCTTGATTGTGTTGCCTAGTTCATGGGTTTTCTGGCTCTTGTCCTTATTTCTTTCACTTCTCAAATAAGGAGATTCCTAGATAATTAAGTCAGGTTAATCATGTTACTAATTAATGACGTCTCAGTTTCACTTGAAGATTTGCCAAGGATTTAGACGCTGTTGACACCACCTCAGATACAGAAGTGGGGATAGCAAAGTGCTAATACCGAGAATACCACTGGGGCATTGAAAGGATGCCTAATGTGAGTGAGTGGTGCCTGCCACTGTCTTTATTCCAGGAAATTTCCCAAACAATGATCAGTAGAAGCTAAGAATCCTTGTACTTCTCTCCATAAGCAGAACTCAAAAGGAAAGTGAATCATGGCTATGGACAGTTCTTTCCATCTTGGCATCCAGTGAGGTGTCATTTAGCTGGATCTTTCTCCCAAGTGCTAACTGATGCTGTTAACTTTCTGCATTGATGCCAGTAATGAGGAAATGACACTCTGCTTCTCTTGTGCGAGGAGGTTTTATTTTGAGAACCGTATGTTTCTTTAGCCAAAGGACACTAAAGTAAACATCTCACTATTCAGTATACTTGGAAAGAGGAGGAGGTCTGCTAATATCTGTAGAAATTATTATAGACCTAAAAAGTGGGACTTTTCTTAGCTACTTACCACAAGGATCAGGCCTAATATGTTATGCTAGTACATTTCTCACGAATTAAGTAGGCATTCCGTACTCAAAGAAACTTCTATTAAAATATAATCTTTTACTAAGTGATTAAAAGTGTGTTTTGTTTGTATAATTTTTCACTCCTTATAAAAGTATAATGTTACACCAGTGTGAGTATGTATATGTATAGTGTATGGGTATATAATGAAATAGGGATACACATGTAAGCATTTCAATCTGCAAAATGGCTTCTACACCTACCTTTGTGAATTTTTATAAGTTATTTAACTTTTCTATGCTATATGCTATTTTTTATTTGTAATGTACTGGCTAATAATCCTACCTTACAAAGTATTATGAGAATTAAATAAGCTAATACATGTAATACATTTAGAACTATGTTTGGCAAAGGCTTTATAATATTATTCATTATTATTATAACTTCACATTATCAATTTTTAAATGTGTATTTGTATATTTTCTTCGTTTATACCTACCCAGCTATATTAGCTGGATTTAACCATTCTTGGTTGGTAATAAATCAAACTTAAATAATATTACACTTTTCTCCTCCCTTGGGATTTTTCCAGCTCAGCAGAATACGTAACGAGAAGTCCCTGAGCAAACCAACAAAGAGCAATGATAAGTCAATGATGATCTAAAACAACACTTATGGATAGATATTCAGGAAGTTAGGGACTGTGTACAGTTAATACAAGGCCACTGACCTTGGGTGATTGGGGTTATACACTAGAAAAATGACTTATATATCTGTTGTTGAAACATAGAATTATAACCTGGCTCATTCTGTCTATTGTCAGTTCTACCTACCTACCTACACAGATACACACACACACACACCACTTATATCCTGCTTGCTGAGGAAAATGAATGAAAGCTTTGGTATAGTAATTTTCAAACACATAAAGTTATATAAGGAGAACTGATGTAAAAGTGTTATTACTTTAGAAATCCTCTCACAAAAACTAATTTTATCTGATAGTTTTAGTATTCATTTCACTTTTATAAGTAAGCTAATATGTCATATAATGTATGTTTAATTTTTTCACCAAATGGATATTTATATTTTCAGGGTCCATTCAAAATGAAATCAAAGTGAATATACATATTCTTTTTTTAGTCTCTACATTAGTACTTGATGCCAAAAAATAAAATCCTTGTTCTTCAGTCAGAGGGGAATTTTCCAAATGTCAGTAAATTGACTAAATGTTTTCTTGTTTTGCTGTAATTTGTTTTTGTCTTTTTAAGGTTTTTAATAGTCACTTGTCTTTATCTCTTTTCTTCCTTTTGATCCAATATTGAAGTCACAGTTCTATCCATGCTTCATGTATATGTGAATGTAACAATAACTGCTTAGACTTCAGATCACATCAGAAATCATAAACAAGGACTGTCCCTACCCCCTTTGTGGCTTACATCACCTATTTCAGAACTGAAATCATCAAAATGTTATATGAAACACATGTAGGTGACTCCAAAATGCAGTGCCATCTTCACTCACTAGCAAGTTGCTTTGTTACATCACTTGCTCTCAGAGCAGAGTCCAGAAGAAACTAGATTCAGGGCAGACAGGTTTTTAGCTGAAGGAGGAAACAAAATGAAATGGTTGTGGAAGAATATGCATGGGTAGGACACTCAAAGCACCTTGCTACCAGCTAAATGTTTGAAAAGTAACCCCATCGGACAGTGTAGAAGGCACTGCTATCAAAGCTTACCTTTGTCACAATTTTGTGCTGGCCCTGTTGTCCTCTGGTTCTCAAAGACACGGGTCTTCCGTGTTATAGAGAAGGTTTCAATATGCAAAAACCTCTTAGATACTGTTCTACCACTTCATTAAATGCCAAAACATAGCCAAGTTCTGAGTGGTAAATGTCCATGTTGCATAGGATTGAATGTATATTTTCCTGCATGATCATCCATTGTGGTGTTTGTAAATAGCCAAAAAAAATGAGCCTGATTTGTTCTCCTTTGTAGAGCCAGGCCGAGGCCCACTACAAAGGAAGTAAACATGCCAAGAAGGTCAAAGCACTAGAGGCAACGAAAACTAAACCCAAAATGGTTTCTTCCAAGGACAGCGCAAAGGCTAACCCCAGCTGCTCCATCACTCCACTCACAGGCAACAGCTCTGACAAATCAGGTCAATGACACTTTTTGTTCTTTACATTCTTCGTGTTCCTCTGGTCCCTTGCCCCAACCCCATTCTCCTCCGCTCAGCTGCTGCATGTTTTCTCCATGATTTGTTTTTAAAATATTAATATGTTTCCTTCACAGGAGGTTATGTGTTTGCATGGAATCTGAGCATTTGATATGTTACCATTCCATGTTGTTAAATATATACATTTAAGTATATATGTGTGCATAAATATGTATATATAAATATGTATATATGGTCTGCTTGGTCACAGTGTGTTTAGACAAAAATCAAGAAATGGACCTAAAATACTGACTTGACTTTATGATTCCTTTCTATTCATTTTATGTTTGATTTTTACTCTAGATTTTTGTCAGTGAAGGAATTTTTAAACTTATCTACTAATATATGTTTTTGTATTCTTTTACCACAATGAAGGGGAATGGAGGAGCAAAATGGCAAAGTTTTCTGAGAGGGTGGCATTATTAAATGAATCTGAAAACATGCTCTATATTTGATTTTTGAAGATCTCTGAGAGTTCCCCTCAGAGTTACAAATGAACTCTAGGAGTTTAAGGGAACTATGTACAAAGCAGTGAATTAACTAACAGCAGAGCTTTGGTACTTGGAAATGGGCCACTAGTAGAAGTACGTTTTAAGAAGAGCCCATATTTCACAGTCCCAGTGAATCAGCAATTTTTCTGAGTCAGTTAAAACTAAATGATTCAGAGAGAAGAGGAAAAAGTCATTTTTCTAGCATGTACACCATGAAACGGGATGTTTACTAGGCTTTCACACACACATCTACCCTCAGGGCCCAAGATGGATGAGTCATCTTCAGGGCCCAAGATGGATGAGTCATCTTGTTTTAGTGGCTAGTTGAGGACCAGTGTCTATTAAAGGAGACAAAAAGAATATATCCCTTTCTCTGTTTGCCTCTCTCTTCAGAAACCTCTCTGTTGTTAGAAACACACACACACACGCACACATGCACACACGCGCACACACACTTCTCTTCTGCTCTTCACATCACTGTATGTTTTGAGGAAGAGACTCCAGAATGCTTTCCTGGGGCTGCCCAGGGCCATTGGAGAATCATTTCATTACTGTAAGAGGAAAGTTTACAAAAGCCCCTTTAGCTAAAAGAGACTGTGTAGGAAAAGACTTTTGTTAGTTCGGCCCCATAAATACTGGTTCCAAAGCTCTGCAGTCTAGGAGGAAGCTACCCCAAACTGGTAATAAAGACTTTTTTGTTCTTTATGTCATAGAATCACTGAATTGTGTTATCTAATGAATAGGTAATAAATAGTGGATTATTTTATCACACTCTTTTTTTTTTCTTTTATCACACTCTTTTAAAAGAACAGAACATAAATATATAATCTAATTAATTTTAACCCAGGTTGATCAGGTATTAAGGTCAAATATTATCTCAAGTTTACAAAGCAGCAAACTGAGGCCAGGTCCCTGCTGCGGCAGTTATTTGCTGAAGGTTACCCAGTGTTTGGAAGAACAAGATTCATCATCTCCGGACTTCCTGCCTGGTTTTATTTTTTTATAGGATATTGTTGCTTCTATGAAACAATACTCTGTCAAAGATTGTATTATCTGGATTATATACTCGATTAGAAAAAAATATGTTTCATTAAAGGCAGTTAAGTAAGAATAGCTGTCCTGTTCACATTTTAGAAGTTGGCGTAGAATTAAATGTAAAATCCAAAGAGATGTCTTTTATGGTCTCCTAGGATCTATCCCAACTTTTAATGACACATTAATGGGAGTTCAAACCATAGTAGGAAGGAGGAGAAATGTGCTTTGGGAGAATTGGGGTCAAAACACAGCAAGCATTAGGCAGCTTTAGGAAGATGTTGAGAACATATTGGCCAGACACTTTACCCAAATTTCTCCCTGGAGTTCAAGTGCCATAATGCCATATGACAATACACCTCCCTGTGATAATATGCCCCATATATCAAATTGAATGTTCTTTTGTGACAGCATTTAACCACTCATAGCAGGTTCAAAAAAAGAGCCTTTGAAAAACCTTATTTCTTGAAAATAATAAAATATTGTGATAATCAACCTAATGATAAAATATTTTGATAGTGAACCTAATGGTCCATATGTCTAGTCTTTAGCAATAGATATCAATTAGATATCAAGATTGAGAAAATACATTTCTAGTTCTCCAATGTATGTAAAGCTATTTAGAGCTAAACAGCCTTTAGTCGGTTGCTGTCTAAATAGATGAATGCCAATGGAATGACTTAAAATGCTACAGATATTTTTATAAATGCAATTAAGAGCAAAGATGATGGAACTAGCATGTTATGCTTGAAATATAACAATAGGAACACCTTAAATTTATTCCGTTTATAAGATTCAGTCACATATAAGTTTTCATATGACCCTCTCAACAACCCTGTAATTGGTAGGGCTGAAATTAGTATTCATCTTTCATTGAGTCATACAACAAACTTCATATCCATTTACTCACTCAACAAATATATCTTACTGTACTATGGAGTATATAGTACATCTGTATATTTTGCCAGGTGCTGGGATGCAACAGTGAACAGAAAGAAATTTTCTTGCCCTAAAAGAATTTCTAACCTAGCATGTGTGTTTTTTATTGTGTTGGATATTTGGACTACAAAGAAAAATAATAGTTACCACCTTGAGCTGCTACCAAGGTAACAATGAAGAACCTGGGGTCTTAGAAGGGTTAAATGGTCTGTGTGAGGTCCACAACTCATATCCCAGTTGTTAGAGCAGGAACTAGGGGCTCCTTGCCCCTTGCATATTCTGTTATTCCCATTACTTCTAAATGTCTCTCTCTTACTTGGGGGAGAAAATACAAGTATCCCAATGGGCAAAGTCAGATCACTAAAACACTTTTTAAAGAATTAGTGGGTAGGACCATATATTACTTTTAAATTGCTTGCTGACTGTTGATATTTTTTAGTAGGAGCTATGGTATTGAAAGGGCCATTAAGGCATTGTTTTATTGATAATCTTTCCTATGCAGTATGTTGTTTGTAGCATTTAACCATAATAGAGCAAAGCTTTAGAACTTACAGATCTTTTCAAGGACATGTTTGAATGAAAACACTCATTTCAGGTAAATTACAAATGTTCTCAAAGCTCCAGCTTGACAATTGTAGACTTTATGTGTCTAAGCCAAATATACTGAGAGAGAGATCAACATTGGGAAGGGCATCGCAAGTATGGCAGGAGCCTTGAACTGCCTCCTAGGGTGTCCAGTTGAGTTGTTCTGAACACTATCCAAATTTTCAGTAACATTTGGAATCATTCCATCTAAAATATTTCCACTGAGGAGATGGAGATTATTTTATTTATCCCATACCCATGACCATACCATGCAGACTATGAGATGACAGTGTCAGAAAAGACATAAGAAGGAAGGAAAGAAGATAGGATATCTCAAAACAGCTCCTTTCAGTTTTCAGCATGTTGTCCTTCTGCAAGGTGCAATCTCTTGGGTGTGAACCAGAGCAGTTATCAACCAATAGATCCATGTGATTTGCCTGCAAAGGCTGCAGTTCAGCTTTTTATGATCACCCTGTTGCCTTATGAAAGAGCATTTTCAATTTTGTCCAAGAGTTTTTCTGCCAAGGATACAAATACAGACCCTCGCCTCGTCATTTTTATGGGTTCCCCTGTGTGTTCCACAGTTTTTATGTGTTGTTACAAATGAGGCCAGGTTTTCCAAATGACAACTTCTCATTTCCGCTGACTGCCGCAGGACTCCATCGATTAGCTAGCAAGGTCTTCGTAACTGCCTCTTCCCCCCTGTCTGTCTCCAGCAACAGGACCTTGTGGTGTTGAGTAGGAAAAAAAAAATGATAGTTTTCTGCTTTGGCAGCATCTGTCATTTATAGATGAGCACCATCATAAATTTGGCATACATCTATCCAAATCCAGGAGGCTGAGATTTAGTATCCCTCATAAAATAATAGATTAACTATATTTATGACAAACATCTTAAGTATGAAATTCTGGGGTACAATCATGTAGAACATAAATTGAGTCCCATCTGTCTAAGGAGAACAGACCATTATACTAGGGCTCATATTTTCATGAAATGTACATATATCATTAAGACTTTCAAAGTCAATTTGAAAAATGAAGCTGCCTCCGTCTTTGCCTGTGCACCTTGACTTTGACACAGCAACCTGCCAGGCAAGGCTAAAGACGCTTAGGTAGTTAAGAGTGTGTAGTCTGTCATAATCTGAAAACTAACTTCTGAAACTTTTGAGCATTTTCTTTTTCTTTTCTTCCAAATAATAATGAACATTTACTAGTATTGTTAGGTTCTCCACTTCTGAGAGAAGTGCCCACTGTTGCTCTAATAAAGTAAACCAAAAGTTAAGACTGACTTATGATTTACTAAGGATCTATTAACTTATGATGTACTAGGGATATGTTATAAAATATTCTAAAAAACGAAATCTTGGATATCTCCTTGAGGGTTATATCACCATGAAAAAACTTGTCTGCATGTAAATTATATTGGAATATATAAAAGGACTTTGTATGCACATTGAATGATTTTGTAAATGCACAACCATTGGTGACCTTGAAATCTTAACAAAGGTCATTACTTACATTTTTATGACATTTCACATTTTTGCTTCAGGAAGAATTCTCTTAAAATGACATATTTTTCTGGAAAGGTGGGTGATCAAATAGAACTAACTACTCAATCAATATTTGTAGATTCTGTGTGCAAGGGCACTGGTACTAGGCACTTTAGAGGATTCTGAGCCAGATTCTGATTATGCTTAGAGTCTAGTGTCTTACAAATTTAGCTTTATAGTATAAAGCTTAAAGTGTTTTTATAGAAACATTTCTATAGTATTTTCATCTTTCCTGACTTCTGTCTCTGAAAATCAGGTTCACAGTTATAGATATCGGGCATAGTATTATGCAGTACTGGTTTGGTGCTCCCATTTCTATAGACAGCACTATCCAATTAAACATTCT